TTTTTTTACACTACCATTGAGAAATTTTAACCAAACTATGTTACAGACTTTTCTTTAAGACCCTAAAGAATCATATCAACTTGTGGAAAATGGGCATCGGATGACCCCTTTAAAAACTGGACGTTTTGAACATTCAGAGAACATTTAGAAATAACGTTTTCATAACTTAATGGAAACATTAGCAAAACGTTCTTAGCACATGTTTGTTAGCTGGGAATGCACTGTAGCGTTGGTGGCATTAGTGCGTATGATGAGACAGACGCTCATATTTCAGTCGACTCGAGGATGTCGCAGCTCTTGGGCCCGTCGCTGGAGCAGCGTTTGCCATTGCTCTGGCTGTTGAGTGCGTGCGCGGTGCCGCTCGTGTTGGCCGGGTCGTGCTCCAGGCTGATGGTGACGCGGCTGGTCTCGGTGATGGACGAGTTGGTGTGGTAGTTACAGTGAGAGTCAGTGGTCACCAGAGGCCAGCGCTTCTGCTGACCGCGATACTGCGCAAACTTACGCCTCAGTGCCGACTGCACCTGCGGGACCAGAACACGCGGCCATTTCTTCAGAATAGAACACTAGCTCACTATATAAAACAATGTAATAATATTTATATATAAATAACATTTATTATATACATTATAGATATATTATAATAAATAACATATATGTATAATAATAATAAAATAATAATATAATGAAAATAATATATAAATATTATATACATTCTATACATTATATATGCTATGTATAGAATATTATATTAAATATAATTTAAGTTCAGTTTGTCTTTATTTAATTTCCTGAAGGCAATTTGGTTGTAGCATTTATACTCATAAACAATACATACAAAATGTACAAAACAACAACAACACTGAAACAGTATGCAACAATGAATGTTTCAAACCAAAAAAAAAAAAGAAGTATAGAAACTATTTTTACTCAGAAATTGCTAGGGATGGGCATTTTTCAAAATTATTGTATTCGAATATTTGGGCTCATGAAAAACGAATATTCAAATATTTGTTTATTTAAATGACCTTTAACAAGAAAGACTTTTTTTTTTTT